AAAACCCAAAACGAAAAAGACCCATGTAAAGGGAAAAAAAAATTTTCTTTCCCCTTGCCAACAAAAGAAAGTTAAAAAAAAAAAAAAAAAAAAAAAAAAAAAAAAAAAAAAATAATAATAATAGTAATAATAATATTATTATTATTGTTATCATTATTATTATTGATAACGATAAATAAATAAATAAAAAGACAATATTTTTATTCATTTCTTTCTCGCTCTCTCTCTCTCCCTCTCTCTTTCGCATTTATGCAGAAGAGTTCCCACTTTTACCCAAAAGAAATAACAGGCATGCCAACCCAATTGGCCTTCTACCAATTAAACTCTGTTCTATGAACAACTCACACTTCTGTTTCTTCTCTGTCTCTATGCCCATAATAATAGTTGCTTTTACTCCTCAATCTCTCGTGCCCTTTTCCTTTCTTCAAAGGCTGCCTGCTTCAATAGTTTCACTCCCTCCTCAAGAGAAATGGCCTGAATCCGACTTGTCTTGTTATGAAAGAACACGCCAAGAACGCGATCTGCGGCTTCAAGCATTTCCGTCTTGAAGGTTGAAGTGATAAATTGGCAATTTTCAGAGTCTTTCAAGATAAGTTTTGCGACTGAAGAACGGTATTCTGCATCTAGTGCAGCATCAATTTCATCAAATAGATAAAACGGTGCCGGATCACAGCGCTGAATGGCAAAGATTAATGCAAGGGCCACAAGTGATTTTTGTCCACCACTTAACTGCCCAAGGTCTGTTATGGCGTTACCAAGTCCAAAAGAAACGCAAATTCTAGCACCAATATATGGATCTTCTCCTGCATTTTTCTTGGCTGCTGATCGAACAAGTTGTAATTCCCCATGGCAATCCTCAGTAGCTACAATTTCTTTAAAAACCACCTCAAATTGATACTGCATCTGTTTAAATGTTCGCTCAACCGCCTCATCCTTTTTCTTGTCAAGATGCTCCATTAGGTCATGAATACTTTTTAATTCATTTTGAAGTATTTCCTTTTGTCCAACCAATTCATTTTTGGTCTCCATAAGAGATGAATATTGATCCACTGCTTTCCGGTTCACATGTGAATACTTCTTAAGCTTCTCATTATTTTCTTTTAGTCGATACATTAACAATCCGAGAGACTGTCCAGAATATTTACTTGCATCTTGGGAACAATACCCA